AACTGGAAGAGGGAGTGGGAAAGGAGGTGGGAATTTCTAACCCCTTCTCTCAATCCCTCTAAAAGGAGAACTTTTCAGAGATGTCACCAGTCAAAGGATGCATCCATATGTGCCTGCAAGTTCAGTCATGTTGTAATGAAATAGTGGAACTGCCAGGTGGCAGTTTTTTGAAGCTTTTGTATTGACACCTTCCCTCTCAGCTGCAGAAGATGGCCCTGGTTCTAGCAGAGTGTGCACTAAGAGAGAACTTCTACACTCTTGTCAGCCTCCTGAATATGGACCTGATCCATTTGGTCATGATGTATCTAGACTCCTTGAGACATTTTCTTGAGTGCTAGAAGAGAGTGAAGGTTTCTAATCTAAGAATAGAATTAAGGCTGTTCTCAGAACTAGTGTTTACCCTTTCCATATCAGAATTGGGACAGACTCAGAGTAGTCTTCAGATGAAAACAGGGACAGCTACGAGGAATCACCTCAGAAGACCAAATATGGAGGAATATGAGTAAACACGGAGAGCTCTTCCACTCTCTTGCTAAGGTCATCACTTCATCAGAAAACTATCTTCAAGGTGAGCAATTGCAAATGCATTGAGTGGAGAACCTCAAAAGGAGGTCTGTATAAACTGAGAAAGATTAGGTTCAGAACTCATTGAAGGCACTGGGCAGCTCCTGGAGGGTGGAAAAATGTCACTGCCTTCAGAAAATGCAGCACCAGGGAAGAGAAGCACACTAACATCCCATTTACTGGAGCCTATAAGGTGCTTAGAGAAGAATTTTGAACTGCTGAGGGATTAGGCTTTTGACAGAAGCTCTGTTCAGAAATCTAAGGTAGTTGGAATTCTGGCCCAACTAGTTCTGAGGGAAAAGAACCACCTTGCTTAGCTATCATGGGGGACAGGGAGGGGAGGTCCATGTCCAACAGAAAGTGATAAAGGAACTCTTCTCATGGCTGTGGCACAGTCTAGGCCTCCCTATCAAAGATGCCCAAGTCCTTCAAGAGCTAACCTGCACTAACCAGGCTGAGACAATTTGGGTACCTGAGTCTGAGACCTGGCAGAAAGGCTCTGCCCCTTGGGATGGCATCAGCAGGTCCTCGTACAAAGCCTACATTCATTGGCCAGGATTTTAAAAATCAAAATGATTATAAAATGAAAAATTATACGTAAGTATGTAATGTTATTAAGTTACATTAGATAGAATTTTAAAATAATAATAATTTACCAGATTTGTCTCAGATTTGATAAACACAGCAAAAATATCAGGTTTTGGGTTGAAGCCTGGAATTCCAAGTTTCAGGGAAAGTGACATTTTTCGGATGAGTTAACACGGCCCCCCCTCCCCCTCCTCCAATGTGTATTAACGTTATAAGGATTGCACAGGAGATCTCATATTTGAGCCTTGACCGTGATGTACTGTTTGGAGTGAAGATCTGATTGTACAAATCACCATCAATGCAAAGTAAAATGAGCTATATACTTGAGCTCTCAGAAAGTACCTATGTGCAACTAGAAACACATACAGAGCAATATATAGTTCTCAGTTGTGCGGTGCTCTTTTCAGGGTCTGATAATAAATACATACTGTAACATACTGCAGTGTTTCTGGTATTATTCCTACGTATTTGCTTGTAAACTGCAGAACGTTTGGTTGCCTGGGTCAGGTAATTCATTTTTAAAACTTCCTTTTGGAAATAGTAAAGACCAACTGAAGTGACTAGTTGTGCCCCTCCCCTATATTTGAAAAGTAATACCTCTAGATTTTATTCTATTCATAGTAGAATAGGGAATTGGTTGCATCAAGGTATTAGGTAAGCAGCTGTTTTAATTTTACTAGTTAGGACAAAAATGAGCAGTTTCAAAGAAAAGCTGCATTTGAGTTGATACACATGCCACCTAATCAATGTTGTCCTTTGACTTCTGTGTCCTGGCTGTACACATTAGGAAACAATTGTCTTGGTTGGTCAGAAAGAGAAACACTGAAGACCACAATCATATAGCTACTAATTATTTATAATCATTCACAGCAAACAGGAAATCACTTTATTTTTTGTATTGAAATGTCAAGCAGACTGGCTGAAAAGCAGTTACAAATACAATAAACTCAACATGCAGGCAAGTCTTTCCTTTACATTTGCTGAAGTCTTTTGATGTTGGAAATTAATATGCTTCCCAGCTAATTCTAATTAAAATTAAATATTCTATTAGAATTTGCATTTTCTTGACCTTTTTTCTGTTCATTTAGAAACCACACAGATTTTTAAAAAGTCAACCTAGTGTTTGGGGAGTTATTCTTTCCAGCTTTTACTGACACTGGAAAAAAAAGTAATGTATAAAATATTTTTTCCTAAATTCAGAACTTCTAATGACAGCAGTTCTCAATAACATGACATTATACTAAATTAAAAATGGACTAGTGGTGAAATCCGAGCCCTAATGAAGTCTACGACAAAACTCCCATTGACGTCAATGGGGCCAGGATTTCACCTTAGGTATTTTGTATCATTTCCAAAACAAGAGTGAGCAGTGCTGAAAAATACTGTATTAATAATCTCCTTTGAAATAACAGAAAAGAAAAAATAAGTCAGATCTCAGTCTTTTAGATTGGATGAGCTAAGTGGTCAAGTTTAGCAGAAAGAATACAAAAAGTCCACAAAGCCGTAGCATTGCAATTGAAATGAAATTCAGAGAGCGGAGACACCTATTCAGTGTTCATCTAGGAAATGGACAAGTACATTCTCTTGTCAAACTAAACAGGGCAACAGCAAGTCTGACAGTCCTCAAATTTCAATTGTTTAAATATCCCATTTTTCTTTAATTGTATATCTGGTTGAAGCATCTTCCCAAGAATTGTAACATTCCTAAATAAAAACAATAAACTAATATCTCTCTCTAAGGCATTAAGGATGGGATTTCCAAAAGCATTCAGCATTACCCTAGCTCTTCTCCCTTTGAAATCAATGCAAGCTTTAACTAATGACTTCAAGGGGAGTAGAGCTAGGCCAACACTGAGTGCTTTTGAAAAGCCTACCCTAAGTTTGAGCATCATCTCTGTACCCTTCTGTGCCTCCATTAATTGAGTGCACAGCAAGAGCTCTGCTCTTCAAAAGAATAACCCCAGACAATCAGGTGGCTTAGTATGAAATGCATAAGTGTCCGCAAACCAAAATAAACCTGATAAGTCTGAAGCCTACCACCCATAGTGTTGCATTTTAATACCAAAACCCCTGGGAGCTTCTGCCCTTCTGATCAATTTGTATAAATGTATATTACATTAAAAGTTATTTTTGGATATTACTACATTTCAATATATTTTGTAGGTAGAAAGTATTATAAAGGTTATATTTTAATTTGTGTTGTCACTGTGCATCACGCAAAGAAGCATTAACACAGTGTGGGAAGAGTATTTCCTCTTTAGAAAGAAATCAACTGTTTAGGCCACATTGAAAAACAAGACTGTAGGTATTTCTTCTGTGAAAATACTATCAACTGAATCATGGATAAACTATGTGAATTACAGCATATGGAAACTACCTCTGAATTCTAACTGGTTGACCATCATACTTTTGATGCGATGCTAACACCCATAATCATTTCTTTATTGCCACTTGACTTTGACTAAACCAATGCAGTAACCATGTTGAGTAAAATACAAAAGAGTTCTCAAAAATATTCTTGGACTTGAATTTGAAACCAATATTATGATCATCATAAATTGGAGAGTAGAAGGGAAGAAAAAATGTCTGCTTGAATTGCATTGCTTGGAGCTCAATTAGTTATTCTTGTTCCATTTCCAATTAATTATCATTAGTGCCAACGTTTGTACATGGCTTCTATTTAAAATTAAATCAAGGTTCCTGAAGGATTGAAGATGGTTTTTAAATCCACAGGTTATGTACATTAGAGTGTAAGCACCTAAAGATATTTTTTTTCCAACAGGAATCACTTTCTTGAAAGGCTAATATGTAACTTCAAACTGATTCAGTTTAAGTACTGATTGCTTTAGCAAAAACATTAACAAAACTCCAAATGTGTGGAGTTTTATGATATTGCAATCTATTGATGAACTATCTAAAAACTGGGTTCTATCAGCAGATACTGACACAAAGATGGCAAAAGAGCACACATAATATTCAAATATATGAGATAATATAGTGCTTATAACAAAGCAACATAACCTCTTGAATTTTTAACTAGTACAAATATTTATTCAAAAATAAAATGAAATGTGTCATCCTATGAGTGGCTGCAGTGTAAATGAAAGCCAGGGATGCTAACACTCTTAGCTATAAGGCGTACAGAACAGGTAGGTGCTGTGCAAGTTTCCCCACACAATTCTTCAAATGAACCTCAATGTGGAATAGCAGTGGTACTTCATGTCAAGGCCTGGGTGTTTTTTGAGCATGGTTTTGTAATATGTACACGTGAGCATGAGCTAACTACCAAACTCATTTCACACGTGATCCACATTCCGATATGAACCCTTTTAAGCAAAAGTATAAGGCTAGCATATTTACCCACTATACCACTTAGCTGTATCTCTTTGGTAATTTTATAACGGAACTACTCTCAGTTTTCTCTCTAAAGGGGAAAGCTTTCCAAAACTTTATCACCCTTTTCATTGAGAAATCAATCTAATTTCCAAGTTCAGTGTGATCTCCGTCACTGTAATACACATTATTTAAAAATAACATAAAATGGTTCCAGTGAAATTATGAGCCCCCTGTATATATTTACATTACATGGTAATAAACTGTATGATATAATAGTGCAGCATTCTGTATTAAGTAACTGCACACTTCAAGTCTCTTGCAATAGTTCATGTACAAACCTAAGAGTTATATACATTTCACTACAACTTCCACAATTTTTATCACAGATTTCCAGGGAGCCGTATGAGAGATTTTCTAATAGATGTATTGTTCATCTGGGGGAGAGTTACGGTTAACCTTTGCCTCTACAGAAAAAAATAATAATTTGGTATTCAGTTCACTTGGGTACTTTAAGGTATTCAGAATGCAAAGAAAGGCCAAAAGTACCTAATTTTAAAAAATTCCTGCAAGCAAGTTTAGCTAAGACACTCTACATATTGCTGAAAGCCTTGCTGTAAATCATTTGAAGTGTTAACCGATTTTGCTTGTAAGTATACTACCATGTATTCACAATAGCCTATTACAGATACCTATATTTTATACTGCTCTATTTTAATAGTCATACAGAACTGTATTATGTATCATCCAACAGCAGTGCAATAAAATATAGTGGCGTAGAAGAGCCATTTAATAACTCTTCAACTTCTAAACAACAACATCCTTTCTGAACATGTCTGTCCCACCAAACTTGCATACTGCTGAATGCTGGCTTCATCACTTGGCCCCTTCCGTCTTTTCTTATACATGCTGTAAGGCATTACAATTCTCTTGTGAAGAACCCGAACTCGGCCCAGCTCTTTAATACAACCTTCATCAACTGCAAAAAGAAATAAACACAAATTAATAAACATATTGTCCTTGTTAGTATGCATTTCCTCACCTTATTTTCTTTGATTAAGAAAAGGTAATGTACCTATGTTCTCTCTTTAGTACTAAAGAATAAGATAACTTTGTTTTGAGCTGATCTATATGCATGGGCTCTGGTGTAATGTAAATCAGAAGTTGAAAAGCATGTATCCATGAGGAGTGAACATAAATCATGCATCTACCCACCTGAAGTAGTTAGGTACACTGTTTCTAACACACATAAAAAGCTATATTTAAATTTGTGTTCAGGGGAGATCCGTGCCAGAAGCAATACTGTATTTGAAACTATTTTCCAATATAATTGATCAAAATGGGCTTCCTTACAGTTGCCATAGAGCAGTGTTGTTTTTGACAACTACACTGTTTCCAAATGTTATTGCTATAGCACGGGCTCCCTGTTTCGCTGGCAGAGAAAGGTGCTCACACAATTCTTTCTGGGGAATAAACGAGGCAACAAAATTTCTTCCCAAACTGAGTACAGCTTTATCCCCGACCAACTCCTAGTCTCTCTTGCACTCTTCCATGAATACCCATCAGCTGGGTCCAGTAGTGGAATGAGGCATGTGTCCTTTATTACTTAACCCTTCCCAGTCTCATACCATAGTCCTGAGATCCAATAAACAGGGTTGACAGCATTGGCCTGACAAATTTCCCTAGGCTTTCAGGACCCAGACAGGCAGCAAGCCTCATCCATAGTTGCATTTTATTAACCTAATGTACAATACCACTCTGATTTATTCTAACAAGCACCATGCAAGGGTATCGTGCTGAATAAGTTAAAACTTCGTTTGTTTGCATTCAGTTGTTGCTGCTATTGCTGAATTCTCATTTGTGTAGGTGTTTACATCTCAGGCAAAATGGTTCTAGAGTAACTGGGAAAGAAAGTTTTTACTTAAGTAAGAGAACAACTAGCCATATGCCTGAAGCAGCTGCATGATATATTAATAAGGTTTTTACAAAGTGTTGTTTAAAGAAAACACTGACTTTGCTGAACACTAGGTTTACATGGCCATTAATATAAAAATCAGCTTAAAAGCTACTTTTGGAAAGTAGATTTGAATGCTAAGTGAAAACAGAGCAAAAAGACATTCATTACAATGTAAGTATATAAGACATAAGCTATGCGAAGAGTACCAAATATTTTTGTGGGCTCAGAAGATGCTTTGGCTACAAAGTTCTTACGGGCAGGTATAAAGCCATTTCATGATCCATGTATATATATATAAAATTTTCTAACACTCTCTTTAATATTTCAAATTTACTTGTGTCTAAAAAATTGTGCTTCATTACAACTAAAGCTGCCACCCCAATGTAAAAAAATCCATTTCCCATAGGGTGTAAGATTTAAGACCCCCCTCAAATGAATCTTGCTGGAGTCCATTCTACACCATTTCCCTTGGCATTATGAATTATAAACAACTGGGATGATGTCTTCTGCTGATTCAATCAAACCACCAATGTGGAAATCCTAATAATTCCTTTATGGGTAAAGAGTTTTAATTAAAAAGAGAAAAAAATAGAGCCTTCCAAAATTGAGGTTGATATTTTTCTAATGGGTTTTCCAAAGTGCACCTGAAATTCTTTGCAGGCAGTTAATAGAATAGACCTGAACAAACTACAAGTAACGTAAACTAGACAGATTTTCATGCTGAATCCTTTAGTCCAGTATTGCCACACTGGTGTCTTTGGTGGTCCTTGGAGTACCTGCTGATGGTTTTTGGAGAGCTGGCTAATTTCATGGTGCTGGTTTGCCTTGTTTCCAACACCTAAATTACACGAAAGGTTAAAAAATGCAATATTCTTTCCATGTAAGCAACCTCTGTAGCTGCCATAGGTAGGCTGAGTTGTCATGAAAGGGGGGGGGGGGGGTGGGCGTATGTGATGGGGAATGGGAGGCGGTTCATGAGAATGTCTATTAAAACGTGACCCTCACTATGAAAAAAAAGTTTTAAAACCCCTTTCAGGCCTTCTTTATGCATTACAAAGAAACAAAAGAGGTCACTAACAATGTTTTTCCTTTGAAAGTCACCACTGAAGCTTGCAGAATCAGAATTTTTCTGCTGATTGCTTGAATCTGGATATTAATACATAAAATAGAGTTTCATTAAATTTCATCCAGTTCAGAATGACTTCATTACTTTTATCTGTTGTGATTCCTTACATAAAGGTACAATGTCCTTCTTGGGTAGGAAAGAGTGATGTGAAAGAAGAAAATCTGAATAGTACATGCTAAGATTTGCTTCTCCACTAATTATTGCTGGCACTTGCTTTAGATAAACACTGAAGTAAACAACACTGTTTTGGCTTTTTCTCCCTCTTTGAAATCCATTAGGCTTTTTGATGTGTAGCCAATACCTTTCCGGTATCCTAATGGATTTGTTTTTCTACCACTTCTTCCCACTCCTCTATACTATTTTCATTCTTTGTGAAAGTTCAAAGAGAACAAAATTTGCAAGTTCAGCATCAGAAGGTGACACAATTAAAGTTATTTTAACTTCTTAAATAGGAGACAAAAGTTTGTACTAACTACACCTTTAGGCCAAGCATTGCAACCAGAACTGGACTGATGCCAAAACTAGTCTTCATAACAAGTTGTCTGAAGAGAGCACTTTTAGGGCTGTTCTTTACTTACTTGTTGATATTTATTACTTCTATTTAAAACTGAAACCAGATATTGTGGGCAAACGAATCTTTTGGCTTGTATTGCTCCTGGCCCCAGATTGTATGTATTACAGTAACTAAAGCTACTGCACCTTCAACTTCTCTACAGTCTTCACTTGCTCAGTTGAACTTTGTTTGGGTTGTTGAATGTGTGGTTTTATATGCTTAGCTCACTTTTACTCATTACATCAGGTCTTAGTGCATTGTCCTCTTTGGAATCAGACCATACAACATACTTATTGCTATCGGGGTTTTAGCGTACTGTGGGCAAGTATTTTCTGGGGGAGAACGACACTTCTCAAACCACGCGGTAGAGCGATGCCTACTTCGACAGTGGCACCATTTTATAAGTCTTCAGAAAAATGCACCCTCACAGGGCAATCAAGGAAACTTGCAACTATCCTGAACACTGCTGAAGCAAGAATCATCCTGAGTTCAGCATAGACACAACTGCAGAGACTGTGTGTATGTGCACATAAAAACTGTCTTAAAGGGCAATATGTTAAACTCAGATATGCATGGCCCCCTAACTTATGCTTTTAGTGATCGTATTTATGTTTTACGCTTCTTATTCAATGCCCATTCATGATTCTTACAGATGTTACATAAAGACCAGAACAATACAATCCTTCCCATAGGTGTTCTTTTAAACACCAGAGAGATTATCTGTCTCTTGTGAATATAATTTATCAACCCCATAAAAAAATAAAGTTATGTGATAAAAAGAACCTGCTGTGAAAGTACTTCAATGACTAAATAAATATGACTCAAACTGCATCTAAAAAAGGAACAGTTTTACTTGAATTTTAAGTCATCACTAAACTAATCTCAGGTACACTTTTAGGCTTTTATAAAGGATGAATAAGAAGTTCTGTCACCACAATACCAAATCCATAAGAAACAATTTAGTCAGCTTCCAGTTGCTACTGTTCTAGTGCCAAAATCATATGAGTGTAGGAAAGTATTCACTTTATTCATTTAAATCCTCTGGAAGCCATCCTACTTAAGGATTTAATGGAAAATAAAAACAGATTGGGCTCTGGTATTGTTTAAAGAAGAAATGACCTGACAAACATAAAAATCAGAAATCTGCTGCTGCTGCTAAATCTGAATATTAAGTGCACATTAAAGACAATTAATTGTACTTTTATAATTATTGCAAATACGAGTGCCAATGTCCCTTCTCTGTGTAACTGTGCTGTTACATAGGTGCAAAACAGGATGCCGCTCTCATCTCAGCTTGGAATGAAAGCTGTAGTATATTAATGTAAATGAAACTGTTTTTTTAAAGCACGAAAAACGCCCAACAACTAATCTTGCTTCTGTGTCTTATTAAAATAGTTTTAACTAGTGTTTTCCTAGTTTCCTTCCCCAATTTTCTCATGGGTTACCATCTGCCAGATGCAGCTAAAGTAGAAAGGGCAGCTCAGCAACCTTACTCATTGGAGAAACTGTTATAATTAAAAAAATAAAATGAAAAGATGCTTTTTCTCACCACACTTTCTCACAGTATATTCTCATGAACCACGCGATGACCTCTGTTTCTCCCCCCCAATTCTGTGCGCTTTATTCTTCTGTCTCAAAAGGCTCATAAAATTAAAGATGTTGGAGGCAGAAAAGACTTTATCAACCAGTTCACTCTCAGGACCATTCAAGGTTATTTACAGTGTATTTCCTAGTCTCTCCCCTTCCCCCCAGTCCAGTTTTTAATGTCCTGCAGAAGAGAGTTTCTACACATATCCTGGGAAGACGACATCATACACCTCACTGTCAAGAAGTTTTTTTGAAATTCACCCTAAATGCTCTTTTTCTCAATTCCATCTCTTATGCCTCTTATCAATGAAATCTGGTCCTGAGGATTTGTTATTATTTTCTTAAATTATCTCAACACTTCCTCTTTCGATCCCTTAGTCTCTGGCAATGCTTTATCTTTATTACCTAAAAAGACAAGATTTAGGGCAGGGGTTCTCAACTTTTTTCTTTCTGAGGCTATAAAAACTCCATGGTGCACCTGTGCCACAGTAACTGGTTTTCTACATATAAAAGCCAGAGCTGGTGTTAGGGCAGGGTAATTGCCAGGGGCCCCCACAAAGCTACATTGGTCAGACTTCAGCTTCAGCCCCGGGTGGCAGGGCTCAGGGCCATGGACTTCAGCCCCATTCAGTGGGGCTTCGGCTTTCTGCCCTGTGGCCCAGCTAGTCTAACACTGGCCATGCTTGAAGGACCCCCTGAAATCTGCTCACGGCCACCCCCAAGGGGCCCCGGGTTGAGAATCACTGATTTAGGGTA